TTTAATAAATTAAAGTATTTTACCATATTTATGCTTTTCATGCTTTTTCCTGTTAGTTCAAGTTTATTGTCAATCACATTACATACACACTTATTCTCTCAGATTCTAAGCACAGTAAGCAGGTTATATAAAATTCAGTAATCTTTGATTACAATAATTTAAAATTTTTTTAATTTATTTAAAAATGAAGTCTTTCTGATACTCAGAAATTACAACTATAAAAACTGAAGGCTTAAGATATTCTATTTTACTTACAAGTTTGTAATGACCTGTATGTTATTAAAACACTTTCTTTTTCATTAATCAAATTTCAAAGGAATAATTCAAATTTGCTTAACTGAAACAAATGCAAAGTACTGTATCATATTACTTTGAGGAACTTGCAGCCTATATTGATTGAAGAGTTCTGTGGGAAGTGGTACAAGTAACAAAGTATAACTTGAATATATTAATGATAAGATTTAAACATTATTTAATATGTCATATTTTATTAAATTAAATAATATACAGTATATATTTACTTGTGTATTATTGACCATTTATTATTCTTTTATATTTTTAAATTATTAAAAATACAAAAAAGTATTAAAGAATTTTTTTAATCACTTATGCAACTTTTCCACTCAGACTCTTCAGTGCTGTAACTAGGCAGGTGCAACAGGTGCACCTGCACAGGGCCCATTTGAAAGGGGGCACCAAAATGCATGTATTTGTCTTATTATTTTCCCAAACCTAAGTAATTAAGGGGTCTAAATGCAAATTCTTGCATAGGGCACAAGAATGACTAGTTACAGCACTGACTTCCTGAATTAAAATTAAGCCTGTAGAACCTGTACACAGAGCAATATTTAGTTATCTGATTTAGGTTTCTTAGATTTTATATGACCCTTGATGGTACATTTCATATAGTCAGTATACTCATTTCACACATTGCTATGCATAAAATGAAATGAAATTTTCTGATCTCTCTATATTTTAGGTTACATCATAAATATACAAGTTTCAATATACTTTATTCATTCACAATTAAATAAACAAATTCTTACCCATGAATTATTTGGAACTTTTATTGGAAAAGAAATGACTAGGGTTTCTCATTTCCCGGTCTTTTGCTTGTCCCGGGATAAAAGTGAACTGTTTCCCGAGATCCCGGGATAGAATTAATTATTTTTAAGGTATACAAAATATCTTGAAATCAAATGATATAATTATTTTCCATTTTTTAAAGTAATTTTAAAGTTATGTAACCTCCAAAATCATACTAATAATGCTGTGTAAGGTCTATAGGCCTATAATAAAAATTACCTTTAAATAACGTAGAAATTTTCACAAATAGAAAAAAATTAATTAAAGTTTGCTGAAAACTGCATACAACAACAACAACAAAAAAAATGTTTTGAGTTGAGTTAAAAATTAAAAAAAATGAACTTCTAATTTAGAAGGTAATTTTCGTTTTTTAAATAAAATATAATACAAAATATTGCAAACTTTTATAAGATTTTAAAAAGCAAAGATGGTCAATACTCCGATAACTCACTCTAATTCTTATTTTAGTAATGAAAAGTCTTGCCACCGAGAATGCCCTTTCCGATTCAATTGATGTGATTGGAATAGTGTTTAATGCATTTAAGAGAAGACAGATATTATGTGTTTTTTCACCTGTAGCCTGGAAGATTTCGAGTTCGTTTTCGAGGTTGTAATACTTCTTTTGCTCTCTAGTATTCTTCATTTGTCTACTTCGACTGCTTTAATAGAAACATCAAGCTTATAGCCCAATAATTCGTCAGTTAGTTTGTCTTTGATCATCAGGTTTATGAAGAAAAACTTCGTACTTACAGACATCGTACAACATGGTGTTACGCGTTATCGAAGCTATTGGGCATGGTTAAAAATTAAGACAGCATAAGCACAATTATTCCAGATATTACAGGTTCCAACAAGTAAAGAATTTTGAGAGTCATAACACAAATAAGCTATGTATTGATTATTGACCATTTGTGACATGCAAAAACTTAACTATGAGCAAAAACTTAAGAAACTAATAAGTAGGTTTAAAATTGATAAATACAAATGTATTCTGACAGTTTATGAGTTAATTATGCTTTCTATTTGCAAAATTCCTCAACCTTAACACAAAATAAGAAAAAAAGTGAATTTTTAAGAAATTTGCGGGATTTCCCGGGATAAGAAAAATTTCCCGGGTTAAAAAAACAACTGGGATTCCGGGATCCCGTTTGAGAAACCCTAGAAATGACCCATTTCATTCTTAGTTCACTACCATTTAATAATTTATAAACATTCATCTTATTTGTGCCAAAATAATTTCCTTTGCAGTTAGGAACACCAAGTATAAATCATTAGTATAAATTATTATTTAGCAAAAAACAAAAATATTTTAACTTTGATGATAATATTCATTAGCAGTAGCACATGACTTAATTTGATTAACTGTTGCCAATCTAGCATACAGGTCTTGAGTCTAGATGGTTATGGCATGATTAAACCCATGATGGGTAAAAAACTTTTTAGTGCTCTTGGTAAAATTTCTTATAAAAATAACTTGAACAAAAAATAGAAAAACTTTTTGCAATCCTCTTGAGATCACAACCCACAAGTTGGGAACCTGGACCTTAATTATCTAACAGCATGTTCTGATATCCTACCATAACCTAAATTTCATTAAAAAAATTCTATTTTGCTAGTTTTTATATTGACACTTTTACTAAAATTAAATTTACAGTACTAACCTATTCCATTATAAACTAATGGAACAGGTTATTAAATAATTCTCTTGTATCTAAAGCTTTAAAAAATTGAAGCAAATCCATAATTTATAAATCAAGTACTTACAACAATACTGAAAATAGCCATATTTATTTATATTAATTTAATAAATTAAAGTATTTTACCATATTTATGCTTTTCATGCTTTTTCCTGTTAGTTCAAGTTTATTGTCAATCACATTACATACACACTTATTCTCTCAGATTCTAAGCACAGTAAGCAGGTAAGATTGGTATTTTTGATAAAATCTTTGTCAAAAACTGCTTTTCAAGAGGTAACAAAAACAAAGTCAATACTACAATACTGGTCATCTACTTCAAAATAAAAAAACACAAGGAAAATTCAAACAAAGAACACATTCCATAAAATTTTTATAACTCCATAGAACTTCATTAAATGAGATCATGTAAAACCCATTTCCTAATAACAAATTCAAGTTCTCAGTTTTATCCAGTACATGCCTAATTATATATAGTTTTTGTTCCAAGGATAATACAATAGTCATACTTTCTATATAAAAACAGGAAACAAACTGGAGAAAGAAGAAATTGTATATTGTCCTGCTATAAAATTTCATAATTGACTACATTTTCTTACCCTGCGTTACTATATTGTTTAAGATTCATTTCTGTGTAATCAAAACAAAAAAACTTAAAAGCCTTAAATACCAAAATGTCAATTGATTGAATCCCTGGTTAATGGAATTTCTATTTTATATATGTATACATACTGTATTTATTCTAACAAATAGTATTGTCTACTGCACTGTATTATAATGTGCTTACAATTAGAAGGCAACTGTTATTGAAATGAATTCAGTAACTTTTCTCTATTATTGTCATTTGAGCAACAATACAATACTCAACACACTATTTCAACATACGGTACGAGTGACAATGCTAAATATAATTTACAATCTCTCAGTTTGAAATAAGTTTTATCTTCCTCCAATAGACAGCAAGCTTACTATTAGAATAAATACAATATAGATAGAAGAATGATTAAAAACAAATAATCATATCTTTATATGTGAATGTTATAACAGTCCTGTGTAATTCTGTTGTTTAATATTCTTCAATTGCTAGAAAAACATCTTGAATGTTAACAAAGATACTGCAGATAGTTTTACAACAGAGATGAAATGTGCAACTTTTGAAAACAGTATTTTAAAAAATGAAATTAGCATTAATATCATTAATAATACAAAGAGTATTAGTAAAACAAATATCTCATTCTGTAAAATTCTATAAAAATACTTTTTAAACTGATATCATTGTTCAGATGATTGACTTTATGAAAGACGAAACGCAATTTGTCAAGAGAGACTGCAATTCATTTAAATATGATATAATAAATTTAAACCAAAAAAACTGATTTTAATAGTTAAAAAAAATGACAAATTCAATATATAATTTATTTTATGTTACGATTTCAATATTTTTACATAGAATGGTTTAAAAACAATTCTATGGTAAAGATTACCAAAAGATTCCATTGGTAAATCAAGATTACCAAACTTTGTTGTCATTTACTTTGTATCTAGTTAAATCCGTCAATGCCTTTATCCATTAGTGGTAAGGACTTCAAATAGCCAATAAAGACATCAATAAAAAAAACGCCATCAACAATAATCACACTCTTATTTACATATTAGCATGTCTTTTGCCAAGAGATGCACGGTCAATCCACATCCATCTGCAACGGGTATTAGAAGCAATCTGGGTTTACAGGTCTCTGCAAACAAGAAGTCTAGGGGCACTGCCTGGCAAGGTCGTCCAATACACCTAACTCCTTTGGACACTATATATTATCGTTTACAAATTTAAACATTCAATTATCACATATAAAAATTTGCTATAAAAAATTATTTTTTTTTTACTCTTCTTTCAGTCAGGATATATTTGTAACTTTTAAAAATGAAATTAATACATATGAAACTGAAATAAATCAAATAATTCAATGGCTTCAATTAATTATTCTGTAACTTAATAAACAAAGTATTTATAGTAAAGGAAAAAAAAACACTAAAAAATTAAGTCCATATTACATTGTAATAATAATTTTTTTTCACATTTTTTTAGTATATGTTAAGTACTACAAATGGTTAAATATTCAAAGAAATCAAATGACAATGACACTAAAATTGTGTAATTTATCAACAAAGACACCTTTTAACGCAATTTTTAACCTTTATCTAACTTATTAAATATCTTACCGGCGTATCAAAAGAGTAAACGCATTCGTCTTTATATATTCTATCTCCATTTGTCGGTATTCGAACTTTCGATACATGACTTAACAAATTCTCGACCGTCGCCATATCTGCGAATGATAATGAATGCACGGTACACCAGCGATGCACGAGCGTCTCACCCTGGAATCATTCCTGCCATCAGCGCCACCTAATTTATTCGTTTGGTTAACTGTTATTAATTAATTAACAATGACTCGCAAAAATCGTCTGATGCAACTAATTCACACTTTTTATTTTAAAATGGGAATAATATATAAAATTTAATATTTAGTTTACATATTTAAAATTTTGTAACTCTACATTAATGTGTTTTTGCCAATTTTCTGATTATATTGTCAATATATCGGCGGGTAATCTATGTGTTTACGGGAAGAATTACCAACGCTTTCGGTTTAGCATAAATTTTATCGTACCCTATACGATTAACTACAGACATGATCATTTATTTTCAACGTGAACTTCCATCATTCTTGCTTTGGTTTCGCGCCAAATTTTACATGTGACTAAAGACTTCCCGCGAGACAGTTTCGTTTCTCCATTGTAAATTTCTTTTGCATTCTGCCAATCCTTAAAAAGGAAGAAGCCAGGGAGAAGCGACCATTCTTTCTTCTTGAATTTCTGGCTTTTTAAAGCCAGAAATTAAAGAAGAATTTATTTAATATTCCCGGAAGAATCGTTCCCAGAAGACATCTTGGCCCATAGTTGATGGTCAGCCGCTTCCGCTTTCGATTCGAATCGTTTAGATATAATTACGGAACTGCAGTTAGCATTTTCCTTTCTTCGTTGACGTAATTTAAGCTTTCGTTTTCACTCGACTAATTGCAAACTTTCTTTTTTACAGAATGAAGATGTTGGAGTGGATCCGGAGGAGGTTCCGACAGAAGGCGGTGGCACCTGAGGGAGGGGGTTCCTCGGATGGCTCCAATGGCGCGGAAGGAACGAGTCTCGGACTTTTACCGCGCCGAAGAGACGTTGGAGGACCGGCGGCTCGAGCGTGTCTCTTCCCAATCGATTAGTTCCGTATTGGAAGAGACCGTGGAGTGAGAAGCAACGGATGACGACCCTGCCCAAATGCGTGTGGCGTGGCACTCTTCCGGAGTTGGGAGACTGCCACGCTACACTCTGGGTTCGTTGCACTTGGTCAAGGTCTTCGGGGATCATCCGGCCACAAACCTTGTTGTGGGGATGTAAGAAGTGACAGCTCGTCCGAGTCGTCACTTCCTGTTCTGTCTCTTGGTCTGCGACGGGGACGCCACTGCCTTCCTGAAGTCAGAAGGGGAGGAATCGGAGGAGAGAGCCACTGAAGTCGAGGACCGTGATGTTTTTTATATCGATTTTGTTTTCGACACTGTTTCAAATAAAAACACGTAGTTGATTAACAATTAACTTTATTCACTCTCGGATACGACTGACTGGGGTGACGACTACACAAGGACTCTCCCAGACAAACGAACGTATCGATATATTGGAATTTCCACCTTTGACTTGACGCCCAGAAGTTACAACAGATCAGTTACAACAGTGTCTGTGGTTTTGTTGCTGCTGATGGCTGCGGTGACCCTCTTCGATTTTCCCTAATTCGTCCTTCTTCGCTCGGATGCGACATTCTTATCGGATTAGACACTTTTCACCCGGACGTGACCATGGACTCCCGAACGTGACACTCGATCGACGACAACGGATTTGACTCCCGAATGTGACGCGTTTACTCACTGGACGCGACATTCGGCCGACCTTTTTCCCAAACAGCTGTTGAGAGGATTGAGCTTTTGGTTAGGTTAGGTCAGGTCAGGTCCTTCGCTCCTCTCATCACACTATTCGGAAAGAAAGACTGTCTGATATAGATCTTTTTTTACTCTTTTCGCCCTGTTGGCATTAAGAGGGACTCTGATAGCAGGCCCATTATGGGTTCGGCCAGGCCCCCAATGGGGCGACTACGTGGTGAGGGACGGGGCCCGACATATCCGAACGGACCTTTGATTTTCTTTTTATAATAAAAAAAATCGGCAACGAGTTGCGTAACTTTCCCGGCTGTTGTGAGATTTTATTCAGAAAATAACTTTTATATTTTTAATTGCAATATAATAAACAGAATTGTGTGTGGCGCCATCTGTTATGTGATTTTGTTATAAAAACTTTCTCTATTTTTAATTATGGAATGGCCAAAAGCTTAATTTTCAGGGTGTTGGTCTTCGTTAAATCTGGCCCCACTCAAGATATGACATGTGACCTTCCCTCTATCTCCTTTCTTCCTCAAAATCCTACTTTTTATTCTATATGGAGTCAAGAAGAATTATTTTTTGATTAAATAATAAATAAATAAAATATATGACGAACGTGTAAAAGATAAGTTGGAAAAATTAATTTTGTGGCATAAAAAAAATTTCTAGATGAGGAGAACAGTTCATAAAATAGAAATGAAACCGAATTACTGTATTTAGAAAGTAACATTTTGGATTTGATTTCCCTGCTTTTTTAAATAATGAGATCTTTTACGTAAATAAATATCAAGCATGAATTTTAAAGGTAAAAATGTCTGACTTTCAGTTAAGTATGAATGTTTCTGCATTATGATGATTTCAGTTAGTATATATTAACATTAATGGCAGATATAAACTCACATCATTATATAAATAATGGTTAATGTTTTGGTCAAAAGTGATGAATTTTTTTATATGATTTTATTAAAAGAGATTTTTGAAACTGGTAATAGCATCTCTATTAATTAATGATGCAGCAGAATTTTCCATCAAAGTTTTAAAACTGGGATCAAATAGCAATTCAATCTGGACATTAACGTAATTGCTTTGTAGTAAATATGTCGTCGCTTAGATTTTGACAACACACAAAATTTGAAAGTTATTTCATTATTAAAAGTAAAGCTTAATAATATTTTTCAATAATATATGCATATACATATATTGCATATATTTTTTATTCGTTCATACTAACTTTTTAATATCTCTGAGGTAATTGCAACTTTAGTATCATATGTTACATTTGTTTTTAATCTTTGTTAATATTTCAATGTAGCTCAATCTTGTTCCTTTATATTGTATTCAAAATCTTGATTCTTTAACAGCAGTAATAAAATGAAGATTTTTATGCATAGTTTAACTTTTATTTTATTAAGCTTATTGTAAAATATGGTATAAATATTTTTAAAAAATGAAAATGTAAGTGAAGGTTTCTTCTTCCAATAGTGAGACTAGTAATATATATATCACGTCTTTCTTAATTATGCACAATTAACAGAGACCGAGATTAAAACAGTTCTCTTTATTTCTCCTATTTAACAATGCATTTCGTATTGATAATTTTCCAATCCCTATTAGGGCTCGCGACTTTACTGTTTGAAGTTGTTGTCTGCAACGTAACGAACAAAATGTTAGTTCGTTTAATATACGTTTGTTATCCAGAATGATGGATATACTGCACAATTTGTACACATCCTAATGGTGTAGTTTCTGTATATCAGTCTTTTGCACTTACTGGCATGTTTTCTTTGTCTATTTTTGATGGGCAAATGCAACACTTCTTCCATTTTCCACAATTATTAACTCTTAGAAGGATTTTAACTTAAATATTCTGGTTTATAACGTGACAAAGGTCAAAATGTAGTTTTTCATTGTAAATATTTTCACAAGTTGAAACCAAAGTTTTCACAAAAACTATAATTACAAGCAATTATTTATTGTGACGTAGTCACAATGCCAGGCTGCAATTTTTAATCATATTTTTAAATCATTTAATTTAAAATATATGCTTTCCACCTCAAATTAGTAGTGGCTTGCTCCTGTACATCATACCAGTCATTGACAGTCATCTATTAACTGCTTTCGGGGGGGGGACTTCCGGTTTTGCATCGTAAGCTCATATATAGTTAATTAGGGCCTCCTGTCCCCAAGATTTCCATATCTGGTCTTGGATTTTTTCTAACACCGTTCTCGACATTGAGACGGACGGTGTAATTATCATCGACAGCTTGCGAATCATTAAGGAACACTAAATTAAAGTGACTTAATTCACTGCTTATGCAGAATAGTTTTACTTTTGTTCTAAAACCCTTAATTCACGTAATAAATGTTGTGAAAGATATAATACGTTGGCCGTATGGATAAAACCAATGACCACTGGTATTTTGTCGTGGGTTCTCGCTTGCTAAAGGGAGTTTTCCGGATTTTTTCCACGTCGGTAATACCTAAACAGTGGCCAGTTTCCCAGAAAAGACCTCCCAGGAGGCATTCCCTCTCGGCAGTGTGTCCATGTGTCGCATTGTCTTAATCGAATAAAACCAAACCTAATACGTTAACGTATTATACCCTACTTTGCAAGAATTTTTATGCAAGGTATCATACGTTAACGTATACACAGTAATTAAGGTATGTATGGTCACGTTTTCGAGAAAAATGGAAAAAGATTAGTATTCAAAACATTTGGCAAGAACTTCGCCGTATTTCGAATGTCAGGTGGAGCTTATCACTTCTTTCATTTTTATTAATTTATTGGGCTTCAATTTTAAAATGGCATGTCTATAAATTCCTATTGGCATCCATGTATCTGTCTTTCTTTTAATCTCGAGAAGCTTAGGGACAGGAAGCCTCGATTAACTATATACAAACTTCCAGTTTGGACTGGAAGTCACGTTATTTTAATTCAAAATTTTTCTCCAGAACGGAATTAGGTAGATGACCTGCACGACTCTATTGTTAACAGGAAAAGTATGATGTACAGGAGCAAAACACTGTTAAAATTGAAAGCATTATGACGATGTCACAATAAATAATTGCTCGTTACTTCTATTAATGTACAAAATTTGATTTAAATCGGTTGTCATTACTTTGCAAAACGTGTTTCAATGATTTGTAAATTTGAGTCGCTGCCAAAGAAGCTTGTTCGCTTCGCTCGCTGCGATTTAGTTTCGCATCGAATGAAGTCGAAGACAAACATTTAATCACAGATTATTACGTACTTGTAATCAATTTCTTTCCGTAAGTGCTTGGCTAGTTAATAAAAAATATCTCACGTCTCCTCGGAAGTGATCGAAGTGTCAATCAGTATATAGATATATAGGACCCAGTATTCTTTTATTGTTGACAGTTACTCAGAATACTTTGATTTTAAAAAATTTTCAGGCAGCAATCACTTATTTGAAGGGTATACTGGATGTACTGTACTAGAATAGGATAATGGCCACAATATTCGTCAGATGCATTCCACAACTTTACAAAAAGTTGGAAAATTAAACATATCACGTATGCCCACATTATCCGAAATCGAATGGACTATCTGAACGCTAATGTGCGAATAGCAAAACTAATCTTGAGACCAATGTTCCCTCTAATTTTTTTTTGTAGATAAGTGGAACATACTTCTCTGAATCGAGGCCTA